CTTTTAACAAAATGTATGGGGGGGGAAATTAGGTAACAAGTTAAAAAAGAAAAAAGCTAGTTTCCAAGTTGTTAGGGGATTTATTTTTAAAGATTCTGGTTTGTTATTTCTGAATATGCTGTGAGTGGTTTAATCAGGACCATCAAATATTTTAAGAATTTTTGATGTACTGAAGAGGAATAAATAAAAATTGATAGCTGCCATTAATTTCAGATAGTACAATGTACTACAATCTAAATTTTGTAAAGATTAGTAATATAAATTTTCAAAAATTTGAAGGGGATTTTCCCTGTCTCTGATAACCATAAAGGTACAGAATCAGAGGACTGACATGAGCACTTTTTGAAGGAAGGCAAAAAAAAAAAATCTTGGGAGAATAAGGCTTACCTATCTTTTATAGGCAGCAGGGCTCTTGAAGGAGGGTCTCCAAAAAAGACGCCTGTCACAGAGCCAGAATTCTGTCCTCACAGCAGAAAGGTTGTACTGGGTGAACAGATGAACAAAATAAAAATTAGCTTAAAATACACTATTCTTTTAACAACTTGGCTGAGCAAACTCAAAATGCCAAGAGTAAAGAATGTGCAAGTCTAGTTATGTTTCATAGAAGATTATGAAAGTAAGTTTAAGTCTAAATGGATTTTATTAGGGTGATTATTCAATAACTTTGCCTTCCAACAAAAGGTTTAAATGGTTTACAGTTTTGTAATTCTTCCAATGAAATTATGAGATGAGATTTCTTAGCTTCTAAAAACATACTTAAGGATTAACAAAACTTTCACATTAACCCTCACACCACAGCCAAATAATCCCCTGAAGGGTCCAAATAGCTTATCAAAAATTATAACTAAAAGTTTCTCTGATTTGGCAAACACTGTAGGATGGCTCACTCAACAATACAGGTAGGAAAGCTAACAACTGGATCTCACAGCTTCCCCTGCACCTAGATAGGGAGATGACAAAGTGTTGGCCAATGCCATGAATATGGAGATCTCCAGTAAAAGGCATCCCTTCCAGAGAAAAAAGCCAAAACATCACCAGGAGAAAGTACTTTGCTCTTCCTTGTTTGGAACATGAATACAATGTCTAAATGTAAAACAACCACCTTGTGATCATGAGGTTAAATGCCACATACTAAAGATGGTAGATCAGGAAGGTACCCACATCTCTGAAACCTCTCTTGAGCAGCTATATTGGCCCACAGTTGCCTGTCTGTGGACTTTTTGACATCAAAGTAAAACTTTTGTTTTGACCATTATTAGAAAAGTTGTGAATTACATTAGCTGAAAATATTCCTGATACATATGAGAACATTCAGATAAATTCTAAATACTCAAAAAGTAAAAATCCATAAAGTTTGTTTTATACTTTCCAGAGATAATAAGAGTGTGCTATAAAAACACTAGAAAATAAAAACTGGAGAGGTATTAGGATAATATGAAAAAAGAAGCAAAGTATGCTTTTAAAGGGCTAAAAGACTATTACAGTTATTTTCTCTAATTGGCACTGTTTTCCCTTTCTTTTTTTCTGTACTCTCCAGTCATTTCTCTGTGCTCAGTCTAATACCTGTGAATAGCATGACAGAGCATGGTTTAACCTCAGTGGCTCACTTTAGCAATCTTCCCCTAAAGTTAATCCAACATAAGAATGAGTAGATTTTCAGAACCAGTTTATACAAAATCACCAAACCTGTTTATTTTCCTATTCTCTCATTTTTAAAATTTCAATAGATTTAGGGGATACAAGTGTTTTTTGTTACATGGATGAATTGTATAATGCTGAAGTCAGGGCTTTCAGTGTACCCATCACCAGAATAGTGCACATTGTACCCAATAGGTAGATTTTCCTAATCTCTCATTTTAAAGAAAAATTCATCTACTAATTTCTTTCTAGCTCCCAACTGCTCTCTTTCTACTGCTCTAAAAAGCCAATGTCCATGAGGAAAGTTAATAAGGAAATTCAGAATGAATCTTTCATAAAGGAATTACTGAAGTTACTCTCCGAAAGAGCAACCCCTTTTATTTGAATTAATTCCAAGGAAAAAGGATAATAAAATTCTAGTGAATTACTGATTGCTTATCATAGAAACGAAGGTACAGAAAACCTCAAATGTTTTAGCAATTTTCAGCTAATATGCTAAATCTGACATATTTTCTTTTAAATGACTTTTAAAAAACTCAGTTCTGTTTTAACTATGTGGATTTCAGTGATTTCATTTTAAAAATAATGAATTTACTTATAAACATCCTACTCTTTCACACAGCTAAATATGAAAACTAGCAGGTGAGCAAATACTATTCAACCTCACATAATCAGCCAAAAAAATACAATTTGAACTGGATTTCTGCTTAAGATTTCTGACTTCAACAATAGATTATATTTGGACTGTAGAATACAGTCCAAATCCCTCATTTTACAGAGGCAACTGGAAAAGGTAAAATTAATCTACCTAAATTTATAGTTAATTACTCCAGTAGAAGTTGATCTTAATGGAGAGGAAGGAGTCTTATTTATCAAAGAAAAATTAATTTCAGAAAATAAACAATAATAATTTAATACTTTTCTATCAAAAAAAAATCTATAGGCAATCCACAGCTTTTCTGATTAAGCTGTAACTTTTCTTATGGCCTCTTAGAAAAGAGGTCCTTTCACAGTAATGACCAAAAATACCTCCATTTATGAAGTCCCTAACACAACTGCCACTTAACTGAGTCTTCACAAAATGGAATAAGGAAAAACGAATTGCCATAGATATGTATAAGTTCTCTTGCCAGAACTTACCTTTCAAATCAGCAATGAAAGGTTGAGAAGGACAGTGCTAAATATAAAGGGTCTTTAGACCAGTAAGAATACCTGTGTGTTTGTTGGAGGGACATATACCAGAAAAAAGAAAAAAGACTTCTTAGTCTAGACTTTATTGGAATTATATTTTATGAAGTCTGTCAGTATTAGCACAGGCAGAAAAATGGCACAGGCAAGAATATGACAGAGCTTTTATATTGTGTGATTTCATACACTTAATGTCTGTAAAAGCATTTTTGAGCTTTCTTTTCTTCCCCTATGGATTTTCATCATTTGACGTGGGCTTTTAGCAACGGACCCTAGATTATGGTACCAAAGGAAGTAAGGCTTTCATTTATAATGGGACAGTTCCACTTGTGATTATTATCTAGGAACCAGTATGATTAATAAATCAGACATCATCTGTATACAGAGTTCAACTAACTCTACTTAGAACTATGGAACAACAACCTGGAAAATAAGAAAATAAATATAAAATACCTTTACTTTTTAACCTACACCTTGGTAATGATGGGAAGATTAGATTTAGAAATTTTACTTGGCATAAAAGGTCATCTTAATTCTAATATTAATAGCAGCAACTAATACTTATATAGTACATGTACCAGGCACTGTTCTCAGTATTTTAAATAAAGTCATTTAATATGAGACTATGAGGCTGGCACTATTACCACTCCCACTTTACAGATGGGAAACAGAGGTATGGAGTTTAAATAATTTGCCCAAGGTCATATAGTGATAATCCAAGGCAGAGCTGGGATTCGAACCCAGTTTTCAAAGCCCATGCTTGTAATGATAATGTCTCTATGAAAAAATTAGATGTTATATTCTATGACGACTTTTCATGCTTTAACTCTGTCCTTAAAAAGGGTTTAGGAAACACTGAATGGCACACAGAAGACAACCAAATACTTGCCAAATGAGGAATACTATTACTTTAAAATTGTCACTATTATATATGTACATATAAACAAACAAGTGTTCCTACCAGATGTCCAATCCACAGAAACCTTAGTGCTTGTTACTCATCTTCTTTCATGCCAAATATATATTAAGATATTTATGAAGCATCTGCTAGATTTGTAACCATCTTTCTTAAATTATGAAGCATTTCATACTTAGCTTTACACAAATCTTTATAAAATGACATTAAAACAAGCATGAATTTTAAACACTTCTAGACAAATATACATACTAAATTCATACACATATCAAAAGCAGAGTTCACTACATCTTTATTCCCTCTAATTCAGTGGTCTCAACAGGAGATGATTCCCTCCCACCCCTGGGACAATTAGGAATGTCTGAAGAATACCTTTAGTTGTCAAAACAGGGGTTTGGGAAGTATCCCCCACAATAAAAAAATCATCTGGCCCCAAATGTCAAGCTGGCATTAATCAAGTCCCTAAGAAGGCATGGTTTATTACCCAACTAACAGACCAAGTTCTGACTTCTGAAGGAAGGCACCAAAACAAAATTAAAATAGAGTGTACCAAAACACCACTGACAATAATAGGAACTCATCTCCTGTATCCACTCTCCCTGATCTACTTGACTGAGGATAATATCAGAGGGTAAAGTTAACCTTTTTAATTGCTTCAGCAGTTCTCTTCTTCCCAAAGTTTCACTTTGGAAGCTAAGTATTTTCAACATTTTACAAATACTACCAAATAAAAGAAAATGGCAGGCATTCTAAGTGATACAAAACTTTCCTGCTGATCAAACAAACTTCAAATACCATTATTCTCATTAAATAATAACCAACAGGTTGAGAAAAAATAATGACCTTTAAATGCCTTGGTTTTGCATAAAATAATAGTTCAAGTCAATTATAAAATATTAGTATGTCATGAAAAAAATTCTGCAAGAATCTGTTTCTGTTCAGGATACACATGTCCCACCACCCTGCCCTGCCCATTTACCTACTCTAGTCTTCAAGGTCCAGCTCAAGGCCCACTTCAAATCCAGTCTACACCAACCTCACTCTTTTCCAGCTCCTACACTCTGGCATGGCAATGCAACTAAAAGCTCCTCAAGGAAAAGACATAGGTTCATACTTCACTATTTCTGCATCTTCGGAATTAAAAACAACCAACATGGAACACTGTTTTCTAGGTGTACCAAATATAGAGCAAGAATATTAATATTTTACTTCTCCCCACAGAAAGAAAGAATTTAAAAAATGGAGTAAAACATTTTACCTCCTCTTCACTTTCTTTATCTTCATCATCTGAAGACTCTTCCTTGTTTTTCTTTTCATCTTCATCACTACTAGATTCATCGGACAGAATTTCAGGACATTTGGTTCGCTTAGCTTTCCTTGCCATTCCAGAACTGTTCCGTTCCTTTTTATTGCCTTTGCTAGAAGTTTTTTTAGATTTTGGCAAAGGCTGTGCAAAAAAAATTCATAAAGATAACATCGCTATTGTATTTCAAAGTCATCCAACTCTTTTTGTTTTGTTTTGTTTGGACACACAGTCTCCCTCTGTCACTTGGGCTAGAGTGCAGTGGTGTCATCAGCTCACTGAACCTCAAACTCCTGGGCTCAAGCCATCATCCTGGTTCAGCCTCCCGAGGAGCTAGACTATAGGCATGTAATACCATGCCTGACTAATTTTTCTATTTTTTGTAAAGATGGGGTATTGCTCTTGCTGGTCTTAAACTCCTGGTCTCAAGCAACCCTCCTGCCTCAGCCTCCCAAAGTGCTAGGATTATAGGCATGAGCCACCACATCTGGACCCAACTCTGTTTTTGATATCTACTTCTCAATTCAACAACTTCCTGCTCTTCTCTAAGGAAATTTACAAGCTTAGTAGCTTTACGGAGAATATCTTTAACTTTAACGTGTCAGGTTAACCTAAAACTGTTACCTGTTACCAATACCCTTTCATTTGTGTTCTAAAGACCTAGCAACACTTCTCAAATGTTGAGAAATACGTATTCTAGGTTCTGACATACGACTAGAAGCCCACGTACACATTGTGTTAAGCTGAGATGGTTGTTTACACTTTATCAAGACAATATTTTAAGTCAGATTTGTAATTTATTAAAACTGTCACTGCTAGAGGAGTTCCTTGCTTTAAAGGGCCCACTAAAGGAGTGGGCGGAACCATCTCTAAAGAAAATAAAACCTTACTACCAATTACACAATCTGAATTTGTGAATGAACTATATAATTTAAATTCCCCACATTACTTCTGTGCTCTTTCAATAATGCCAGCATCATATTCTCATTGATGCTTCTAAGTATGCAATAAATGTTGGGTATGTTAATTATGAAACCAATTAAGAACCACAAAATAAATGCACTGCTATTACTCTGATAATCAATTAAACCATGCATATTTTAAAAGCAGAGTAGATCATGTGAGGAAAATGATTTGATTATATTAACCAATAAATGCTTTCTTAGGGGAGTTCTGCTAAATTCTAAAATTGAAAACCACAAAATTCCCTCACATAAAGAATCTGAAAGTATATACAGTAAGGAATTAGCATTATTTATTTCTAAGATTGAGTATCTTTTATATTCTTTTATTTTTGCCTTTGTTACTTCATTTTCTGCAATAAGCAAAACCATTAAGGTAAAATTACATAACATAATCTTAAAGTATTCAACTGCGTAAATGTTTGTGGTAACTTTAAGGCAGTATTTTTCATGAAACTAGCAGAACCACAATCTCTTCCCTCCCAGGAACCTCTAGTCTTCTAGAAGTCACTGTCACCTACACAAAAATTAAGAAAAAGTGGCTGCTCTGCATAATGTAGTGTTCTCAGGCTATCTACAAACCACAGGATAACCTCTAGCTTGCCCAAACAACCTACTCTTCTAAAGATGGACTGAGAAACAACCAATTTAGGTCACTCCAGAAACTTTAAGTTAGTGGACCAAAGACATTCTTCAAAGCAGATTCTGTACAAGAAACTTTCTTGAATGTATACAGATACCTTTGCTATGTGAACTACTACCATTACCAACCTATAATCAGGATCTTAATTGATTTGGATAAATTCTTTGATAGCACTGTTTGGAGCAAAAGTGACTCTTATTATCCAAACTCTTACTTACTTTCCTACTTACTTGCTGTATTAATTCCGGGTCTCAAATATATTAGAAAAACATAATTATCTCTCACTAACTCAGCTCAGAAACCAGATGCAGGTAGTAAGAATGTAATCTGTATACAGAATTATTAATATGGGGACTGAAATAGGTACTGGATAAATCTATACAGAAAAGTGAAAGGATATTAAGTTATTCAAGTAACCAATCAAGAAAATGCAGCTCCCAAAAGTAAATGAAGAGCTTTAAAAACAAAAATCAAAAAGTTGTAATGTGCAAATGCTTTAGAGCCTTTTTATACTCGTTCTAAAAACAGTTAAATCTATTAATCAAAATCCAGTGTCAAAGGCCGGGTGCGGTGGCTTGCGCCTGTAATGCTAGCACTCTGGGAGGCCAAGGCGGGTGGATCGCTCAAAGTCAGGATTTCAAGACCAGCCTGAGCGAGACCCTGTCTCTACTAAAAATAGAAAGAAATTACCTAGACAACTAAAAATATATATACAGAAACAATTAGCTGGGCATGGTGGCACATGCCTGTAGTCCCAGCTACTCAGGAGGCTGAGGCAGGAGGATCGCTTGAGCCCAGGAGTCTGAGATTGCTGTGAGCTAGGCTGATGCCACAGCACTCTAGTCAGGGCAACAGAGCCAGATTCTGTCTCGGAAAAAAAAAAAAAATCCAGTGTCAAAACAGCATTATCTCTTTTTGGAAACAAAAATCTGATAAATAAAACAATCAAGGTAGAAGTCCAAATAGAAGAATAGTGAAACAATCAATGATGAATGTTATGTTCATTTAGCAATTTAAAAATTATTATAGAGGAGAAAAAGTAATAATGAATTTATAGCATTTTTCTTAAATGATGGAAACTTACGGTGGCATAGAAAATAGCTTGAGTTTGATACCATCAGATTAAGGAATAATCTTCACAAGGTCATATACGAAAAACTGATATAAGAGGTCCTATATGAAAGGATAAAACAGTGATTCTCCAAGTGTGGTTAATGGACCCTGGGGATTCCTAAGACCTTTTCAGGAGTCCACAACATACTATTTATTTGCTCTTTTCACTATGTTGACATTTGTAGTAATTATATAAAACTAAAAGTGGATAAAACCACTGGCACCTTAGCACTAATCAAGGCAGCAAAATGCACTAGTTGTCACTGTATTCCTCACAACCACATACAAGCAGCAATTGTTAACAAAAAAAGCTCAACGATTTCACTTAAGAATGTCCTTGATGAAGCAATAAATATTACTTCTATTAACTCTCAACTCTGGAGTACATGTCTTTATACATGATAAAATGGGAATACACATAAAGAAATCTAGTTACTTTATTGAAGTTCATTGGTTTTATCAAGGAAAAGACTGTGTAATCGAGTTGTGAGCTAAACTAGCTACTTTTATTCACAGAACACCATTTTTAAAAGATCTGACAAATATGGCTATTCAGATTTAGGTATCTGATAGACATGTTCTCAAAAATGAACAAGGTGAGCCCGTCTCTTCAAAGAAAACAGAGTATTTATTCCCAATGATAAATTTCATGATTTCAAGTGGAAATTAGGATTTTGGAAAATTCACATCTACTACCGTGAACTTGACAGTTTCCAAACACCTAAAGATTTTTCTGATGAGATGGTGTTTACATTAATGATCATGACTCTTTGACAGTGTTTAATGAAAGGTGTCAACATCTGGAAGATCTGCATAATTCAGGGAACCAATATTTATAAATGGTAAATGCACAATACTACGAAACCATACATCGGTAAAAGACAAAGTTCATTAACATGGTTTTAGATCTACATTAAACAATACAACTAACCTTTAAAAAACTATCAATTTGTAGAGTTTTGGTGTTGTGTGGTGTCATATCAAAGGAGAACATCCAGAGTTATCTAAAAGGACTTTAAAAATATTTTCTTCTAACTACATACTTAAGTGAGGCTGAATTTTCTTCATATACTTCAAGTAAAACAATACACTGCAACAGAATGAACTCAGAAATAAATGAGAATCAAGCTGTTTCCTCGTAAGCCAGACATTAAATAGATGGGCAAAAACATAAGGCCAGTCTTCTCATTAGTTCTTTTGAAAATATATTTTTCACACAAAATATTACTTTTATTAACATGTTAGTTTAAAATAAAAACGTTCAGTTTTAATTTCAAATATAGTAAATATCAAAATAACCCACATACACAAAAGCTCTTGGGATCCTCACTAATTTTTTAACAGAGTAATGGGGCCCTGAATCTAATAAATTTGAAAATCACTGAGAAAAAGATGAATATAAACATATCTCTCATAACTTAGGAAATATGGTAATTCCTTCTGAGGAAATAGTGATCACCTTCAAATAGTGCCACATGAAATCCTAAAAATGTACAAGTATAGCCATACTAAAAGTTTAAAAAGATTATTTTTTGTTTTTAAATAAGCCAATTTGAAACACCAAAATCATCATACCCCTTTGGTTGGAGCTGCATAACAAAAGTTAACACCCTGAATATCCTTTATCTGTCCTTGCCCAGCTAATAGTGATCAGGACCATGGATGGGCAAAAACCAAGTCCCAGAGCTATTTTCTGGTTTCAATTCTTCATGCCCTCTTCCCTCTCCAGATGGTGTTCACCTGAACTCCCAGGCCTACCAGATTTTTTTGTAACAAAATGAGGAATAATATAAACACATTTGCTAACAGACCTAGAACATACTGAAGATGCAACCTCATATAAGTAGCACTAATACCTGACGTCGTTTGTTACTGTTCAGTAGTTAGGGAAAACCTAACCTACATTTTATGAAGAGTGGGAAAACTTAAGGCCATTTTACTTCCTTGCCCAGCTCCTGGACTCTGCTGAGGATTCTGGAATCCTAATCCAAGGAACTTGTAAGAGTCAGCTTTTTAAATATCACTTTTAATAACCTTATTTCCACGATGTAGAAAACATCCAGTTCTAATATAACTCCCATTGTCTTTTCTGACCTAATTATAGGTTGCACCTGCCGCCAGCCTGACAACTCATCCTCAACTCAACCTGTTTCCATTCTTCCAGTGCTTTCTAGATACAAAATCCTGAATACTTGCTTTTTTTGTCTCACCTAACATTAATTTACGTTTATTAATCTTACATCTCTTTTATCTAAGGGAGCACATTCTTATGTCTTCTATATTATTCCTATTATGAAATTGTTGTTGATATGTCAACAGAAGGTATAGTCTTTGAATGTAAATATTACAATATTGACAGCAATGCTATTAACCAATTAAATTACTGTTTCACAGAAAAGAGAAAGTAAAAAGAGGCTACAATTAACTGATTTATTATGAAAATAGAAAAATTGATCCTTACTTTGCCAGATGGCTTTGGATGCATTAAGAAATTCAGGATCCTCTTCACTAGTTCACTATTTACACCTGATCTCTCCAAATCAAGAACCTCACAGATGCTCTTTAACATGGCATTTCTAAATCTGAAAAAGAAAATGGAAGAAACCAAGGTGACAATACAGGAAAGTTTATAAACACTCTCTCCAATATAAAAGCAACAGCCAATAAATTGGCTCAGTTACATATATTTTTTAAAAAGTAGCCAATGTTTCTCTAAATCTTACTCTTAATAATCTTGACTAGTGTACAATTAGATATGATTAACAAATTGAAAACAGCACTCACCAATTTAGTTTTAAAGGCAGTACAAGAATAAATTAACATTTAATAAGTTCTAAATTAGAAAAGTTAGAAAATTATGTAAAAAGTTTTGAATACTATAAAATTCATGGTCTTGATAACTCTTCTGGCTGCTGATTAAACATTACATTTTCCCCTCAGCACTGCTATTATGACAATGTTTCAATGAAAGAATAATTACCTTTGTTATTGAATTTCTTAAACTAAAAGGTATTTAATAAACAAAAGCTCTAAGAATATGTCATCTTGGCTGGGCACAGTGGCTCAAGCCTGTAATCCCAGCACTTTGAGAGGCCAAAGCAGGATTGCTTGAGGCCAGGAGTTTGAGACCAGCCTGGTCAATATAGTGAGACCCCATGTCTACAAAACAAAAAAAACCCAGCCAGGTGTGGTTGCATGTGCCTGTATTCCTAACTACTCAGGAGGCTGAGGCGGGAGGATCGCTTGAGCCAGGAGTTTGAGGTTACAATGCGCTATGACTGGACCAATGCACTATAGCCTGGGTGACGGAGCAACACTCTGTCTCTGACATTAAAAAAAAAAAGGATGCCATTTCTATCTATCAAACTGATTATCTTCAAAATAGTTTAAATGGTTTAAAGGGGGACAGAGTGAATGACGGGACAGGAATAGGATTTTTTTTCATTATATTCCCTTTAGACTTTTTCAATTCTGGACGCTGAATGACTGACCTGTATGTATCATTCTCGTAGAAAATAAAAATGTCTTTAAGAGTTTTCAATAATCTTGATAGCAACTATTGGAAAGTAATGGACACCCCAAGTTCATAGCTATGAAGACAAGTCAAATCTTGGCCTTTAATGCAAAGAATTAGCAATCTACTAAAAACAGAATGAGCAATCATTTTTTAATGTTAAAAGATAAACTTAAAGCACACTAATTGGAACATAATATTTATAAAAATAACTTACTTTTTCAACATTTCTTCCTTCTTTTTATATTGGGTACTTCCTTTTTCAAATGGAAAGCCACTGAACTGACCCACATTCTTCTTTAATGAGGACACCTGAAAATGTTTCTCATATTAATGCTATTTATTATTCAGTAATGTACACAAGAAAAAATTCAAGAACAATTCAAAGCCAACATACTTATTTCCATGTCTTCGTGTTACAATATTGGTTTATTCAACATTTCTTGTTCCAAATTGAAAAATATATTTGTTACTATAATAATTTACTAACATTATAAAAATCCTACAAACTTAATTCTTTGAGAATAACAGTTTAAATCTGAATGAATTTCTATCTGGGATTTTTACCAGAACTAAATGTTACCTGACAGTATCAGAAGACGTGAAAAGTTAGTACTTAAAAAGACATCCTTTTTATAAGTTACTAGTATTAACCCTAATATTTATTTTCCAAATCACAAAGTCAAGGACTTTATTCTTTGAAAAGAATAGTGAGTACTTCAAGAAGTTCATACCATTTACTAGTTATGGGACTTATGTTAATTAGACTGTTGTGAGGATCAATGAGATTAACACATGTGAAAATAAATTATACCGTGTTTCAGACATTCTATTCTAAGATCAAAGTTTACTTTGCCCGTGTACAACCTAAAGCAAAGTTTTCTCAATTATATAAAATACTATTGTATGTACAGTATAATCAATCCTTGGGCAAAGAATTACCACCCATTTTATCAGGTACTTGCTCAAAATGAGATACAATTACATTGACTCATTTATTCTCAATGGTCGCAAAATCCAAAAAATAAATTTCTTCTAATACATTTAAAGATCACTAAAACCGGCTGGGCGCGGTGGCTCACGCCTGTAATCCTAGCTCTCTGGGAGGCCGAGGCGGGCGGATTGTTTGAGCTCAGGAATTCGAGACCAGCCTGAGCAAGAGCGAGACCCCGCCTCTACTAAAATTAGAAAGAAATTAATCGGCCAACTAAAAATATATAGAAAAAATTAGCCGGGCATGGTGGCGCATGCCTGTAGTCCCAGCTACTCGGGAGGCTGAGGCAGAAGGATCGCTTGAGCCCAGGAGTTTGAGGTTGCTGTGAGCTAGGCTGATGCCACGGCACTCACTCTAGCCCGGGCAAAAAAGAGTGAGACTCTGTCTCAAAAAAAAAAAAAAAAAAAGATCACTAAAACCATCACAATTTGGATTTCATGATTCAAATTTCAGTTTGGAACAAAAAAAAACTACAGTAGAAAGCCTTTTAGCTATTACAATCCTCATTGCTAATATCCAGCTATGTCCTCTGACAAGTTTAACAAGTGTCTTAGTTTGCTCACTAGCATAGTGTGGAAGCTGAACTAGTGGACTGCTAAAGTCTTTTATAGAACTAAAATTATAAACATGAAATAGGTTAAAGGTATAAAAAGGTCTTACTGTGCCTGGCCTGTTGTAAAGCAGTTTATGTAGATTTCTAAGTTCATCCGTTTTCTTCTTACTCAGAAAAAAATGTATCCTTTCAATTTCACAAAGTTTCTGCCCCTTTCCTAGAAAAAAACATCATAATTAAATACCCACTGCTTATTAATACATTCACAAAGTTAACTGACAAGAATTATTTTTACAGCATAATTTACATGTAACTTTGCTCTAATGGAGCAAATTAAATTATACCAAAAGTATATTACTTACTAAACACAAAATACTCTAGTATTAAGCACTACTAATCATCGTTTTCACACATTTAGGCATCTTCACCATAAAATGAAAGGAACAGAGAAATAAACTTACCTTGTGCAATTGTAAATGGCTCTCTTTGTAAGGAAGAGACTTGCATCGTCAACCTCTCTACTTTTTTCTTTTCCCTCTTGCCTTCCACAATGAGACTCTTTTCTGAAAATTAATTTAATATTTCTTAAGTAATGAAAAGCTTAAAGAATGTATTAACTTTATTGGATAAATATGAGAAAAAAGATCCCCAAAACCTAATATTTTACTTCTCCTGAGCATAGTTTTGGGAAGCAAATGACATAAAAGACGAAAATACTTGATAAGTTAATAAAGCACTGTGAAAATTTTTTCAGAGTAATATTTTACTTACCTGGAAAACTCACAGGAATCCAGTTTAAAAAAAAAAATCAGACAGCAAACAAATTTTTATCCAACTAAAATTACTGCAATTAAAGTCCAGTCACTTTATTTGTGAAGAAAAATCATCTTAGTTCTGTTTAATTTTTGCTTGGACATAATTCTATTTATTGTGATTCACAGTTTGTTGTACATCAGAAATAGCAAGTTTAGAATGGGAGTTCTAAGAACTTCGAAAGACAGAGAACAGGAATAATAAATTGACAAAAACAAGGACCTCCAGTCAGAACAGCATGGAATAACCGGATAAGACAAAATTCTGCAAGTTTACATTGAATACAATCAACTGAGAGAGCACTGCTTTGTAGTTTAATAAATGTTCATAATGATAGTCATAAATCACTCTGAATAAAGTTAAATTCTATTTAGTCCAGACTGCTTAAAAAATTTTTTTTTGAAAATATACAGCATATATTTTAAAATTTAAAACATTAAGCTCCATTTATCTAAAATAATTTACCTACTCATTGAAATAAAATCAGATAAACAAACACTGTATCATTAGAGGTACTTCCATTCATTCGAATGAATACCTGTTTTGTGCAAAGCTACATTCAGTACTAAGAGGGGATGAATAGATGATTAAGACATTGAATATCTTTTGAAAGAGATGTTTACCAGAGAAATGAGGTATGTTATACTTCAACGTAGAAGATGATAAAACATCTTAAAGATACAAATAAAAGTTCTGTGAGTTGAGGGATTGATTATTTTTGGTCTGGAGAAAAAGCATTGAAGCACTGGTGCTGGCTTTGAAAGACAGGTAAGATCTGGGGATATGAGGATTTGCACAGAAAGGAAGAGTCAGGAGGAAGGGATATCAGCAGGTATATTCCGGCCACTTTGTACAGACTGAAGAGTAAGAACACAAAAGCAATCCCTATTATCACTCAAATTCCTCTCCCTCAATGATTTAAACCATTTGTTTGCCTCTGATTACGAGCTATAACCTAGTAACTTCCCAATCTCCAGTCCAGAGCTTTCTTCTGAGATTCCTATCAACCAATAGTCACCCCTAGGTATTAGCACACATCACCGACTGGTGCCAGGATCCCCCACACTCCCAATACCAAAACCCACAGATGCTCTAATCCCTTACATAAAATAGTGTATTATTTGCAGATAATCTATGAACATCCCCTAGTATACTTTAAATCATCTCTAGACTACTTACACTTCATATAATGTAAATGTTAGGTAAACAGCAGTTATACTGTATTGTATAGGGAATAATGATCAGAATAGAAATCTGTACATGTTTCAGTACAGACACAACCATCCATTTTTTTCCTCAAATATTTTTTATTCATTCTCGGTTGAAATCATAGATAAGGAACCATGGACATGGAGGGCTGAATGTATATGCCTGGCTGCCACCTGGACAGCTCCACTTAACAGGCACCTAAACTCAACACATCCAAAACAGAAGTCATACTCATCTCCAAACTTGTTCATCTCAGTGAATGTTTTTTTCACAAAACACTAATACCATCCACCCAGCTGCCAAAGACATTAACCTAGGAGTATCTTTTACAAGTTATTTCTCTCATCTCCCCCTCCCCCAAAATCACTGCCAGTTTTGGCTAATCTGACCTTTATTTAGCACAGACTTCTCTGATTTCACTGCCTTGCTTCCATGATGCCTCAGTGCTAGAGTTAAATATTCAGATTTAAGTAAAAAAGACTTTCACAATTCTAGTTGTCCCACAAACACCTCAAATGAGTAAAAAGAACAATCATGAATCAGAACTATAAAACCGTTAGGAGACAAATGTTTTTACACAATCATGTTTTCTTTTTCAAAAAAAAAAATCACAATTTACCCATCTAGAACAAAATATAGGATTCTTTGAACTACCACCAGTCCTCCAAGCATCACTGTGTTGGTCATTTATAGTCTGTTCACCTGACTTATCTAATTTTTTCCTGACATAAAGAAAATTCACCATCTCTGTGGTATCCCAACTCTGCCCTCACAGAAAGA